ACTACCGCTTCGTTGTCATGAATCAAAACCGAATACCTTTGAGTTGTGATCCTCTTGGATAGCGATAGCCGGATGATGATAAGCAGGTCATCATCGTCGTATGTTTTTCTCCAATCGGTCGCTGGCCAACCAGTCGAGTAGACCATCGGCTTGAATACTAAAAAAGGTGAGGAGCGAGGCGCTCATGTCCTTGGCAGGGGGGGAATCCAGAAACAAAATCGGTGTATAGTGTGAGGCCAAGGACTAAACCCAGCACAGAGGCGAATCGCAGGGAGAACACATATCATTCCATGCTTCCCACAGATCTCTCTTCTCCTATGCTTACCCGAAGCACAGTATGGCTTCACTCTCTTGGATGTCCTTCCAAGGGCATGAGCGCCATCACAGATTCTGATGTAGGAACGCATGATCTTTCGTAACCGTCGGAATTTGGAGGGCAGTCAGTAATGGAAACTTCAAGGTCTTTTCACTCCCCCAGACACACTCACATTACCTGGACATCCGTGACGAAGTTATACGAAAGTGGATTCCCCCACCCACTCATTTGGTATCTCAATTTCTCTATATGCCATGTCTGTAGGTTCGTGAGCATATCTAATCATTCACCAGTACACTTCCTCCCTATATCAATTCGGGCAACGTTAGAGGAAGTCCTGATAGAGGGCCAGAGTTGCAATCGTGACGTGCGATGGGGCGATTAGGCGATCGATGTATAAGGAAAAATATACGTACAGATTAGGTGACTAGGCGAGTAGGCGAGTAGGCGACTAGGCGATCGCTAAATGGGCGGAGCAACAAAAATATGTATCCTTCCCTGATCGCCAAACCGTCTACTCGCCTAATCGCACGTACGATCGCCAACTATGAACGGTCCGTAGAGAAAACGACACCGGTTGGGGAACAGGGACTGGGGAAACGAATCGGTCTTGTTGGTTATCCGTCTATTGTGATGCTATGATTTGATAATGAAGCTATTTATATTTACCAGATTAGTCCCCCGTCAACCGCCGGGACCTTCCTTTCCTGCGCAAGCTTTCTATCCTCCGCTATGGTCCCTTCCTCCTGTGACACCAACACCTCTGGAAGTGACGCGTATGCAACACAATGGTGTTTCATACAGTAGAAGGGACACAATCATGATATGACGGTAGATTTTTCGCTTCCCTTCCTCATCCTCCCTTCCTCTCTCCACTGCCCTCCAGCTGCCACTGCAGCACCATGTGGAATGAACGGAAGTGTGCTAAGCAGGTGTTTATATAGCCCTAAGAGTGTTATCACAACTATCCTGCTACAAAACATTGATATCTCAAATCCTGTAAGCTACCCGATTTGTTAGCGGTTTGTTTATCCCATGAGCTTCCTTCTCACTCACTTCATTTTGCGGACGGACACACATACACACACACACACACACACACATACAGATACACAAACCGACACACAAAGTTAGCGCTTTATAAAATAGAAGGATGTTAACATGAAGTGCTTGAGGAAGTTGGAAGCACAGGGTGGTGGGTAGGCAGATGGAGTTAACCTTTGCAAGAGACTCTAGCCTTCAAGGAACCAGAGAGTGACAGAATCTGGGAAAAATTGAGGCGTTAATCTGGAACGAGGGAGAGGGAACATAATGGAGCAAGAAACTCAGAGTATTGGAAACCACTATGAATTTTTATTTCATAGAAATCTTTCCGAAGGAATCATTGTCACAGTGATGGCAGAGCTGTGTCGTCCGCTACACCCGGAAGAGAAAGCATTGCATTTGGCTAAGGGTGGGCACAGCAACGCCCGTAAACTCCCTGGCTAAACTAGAGGAGAAGAGGAAGTGCAAGAAAAACGATGTAATCAGGTCTCGAGGCTGCTTATCGCCACTTTAACCCTAATGCTGCGGTTTCAAGTGCCCTGGGTTTTATGCTTCGAAATGCTCCTCCCATCCTTGCTCCCCTCCCCGCTCCACAAGTACATGAGCTTCAAAGCTCTTACTACGCAAGGGTGATTTAGAACGAATAGACAAAAGACAGGCGAACCTTCGAGATACCGACCTTCAGGAAATCGGTGCACGCAAGGCAGCACCCACGGTGCTCAACGAATAACTGCTATCTGCCGTCCTATTATGTTTGTCGCTAAGCAAAATCTTTTCCCGGCAACCATTCTCATTCGTTCCTGTGAGGCAACGTGCGCAGTACGCAGAGGAAATGGGCGATCCCAGTGCATTTGTCGAAATCTTCTGGAGGCATATCTTACGATGAGTTCAGAAGGAGCAAGCACTCTGATGGGTAGGATAGAGCTGTCTAAGAAGATTACAAATGTGCCGTTTTGCAACTCCAAAATGCGCCGCAAAGGCGCTAGGGCCTTAGCAGTATGGTTAGGCTAGGGCCTTAGTATAGATGTGCTGCAGCTGGGCGAAGCTAAGGTCCTAGCGCCTTTGCTTTCAGTAACCGGTGCAGCAACACCCGTGGGGCTGGGGTGACGTGACAGGCTTTGTAAATCGCTTGCGAACCGAGGGGATTGAACGACGCACCAGCGACTCGACAGTGTTGAAGTGCTGAGAGACCCTCTCATTCGCAGGTTAACTCTTACAACTTGCCAATGCTCTTATGCCCATGTGAACCTGGAAAAAAGGCGAGAGTCGATGTGTGAATGGGACAAACTACTGCTACTTTTCGCGTGGTCGCTGCATCGCATTATTCAGACCAGGTAGCTGCACGCTCGTTTCCCCGCGACTGCGCTGGGTCGCAGTTCTGGGCCACTGTCCTGGGGGTGAAATGCCAAATCGACCTCCTTCACTCATCGCTCGTCCTACTGTGCGACTCGGCTGGGGATCGCAGTTCGGCGCTGGTCGCTGGGGTGGATTGGCCAATCGACCTTTCCTTGCACTCCATCGCTGGTCCACTGCGACTCGCGTGGGATCGCAGTCTGGCACTGTCTGGGGGGTATGCCAAATTCAGACCTTGCTTCACCTCATCGCTCGTCGCAATGCGACTCCTCGCCTCTGAATCCCCTGCACAGTCCTGGCTACTTGTGCTGGGCGGACTCGCCACAAGACTCGTATCCGTGCCTTCACCGTCACCGTCGACGCTCGTCCAGCCTCTTCTGCGACTCATCTGGGCATCATCAGTCGCCTGCACTTTTTTGATTTCTGCGGTTTTGCTGAATTGCCAAGATCCGCCCTACTCCTCTATCACTCATCACGCTCGTCTGCCTTTAGCAGCACTCGCTGGCATTCGCATTTCCTGTCACGGTCTGTGGGGATGATGCAAAATCGCAGCGGCTTCCCCTTCCACTCATCGCTCGTCCTCTGCGACCTCGCTGCGGATCGCAGTCTCGGCACTGCATTCTTGTGGGGTGTCCTGCCGTAAATCCGTATCTCTTTCCTTCACTTTCAGTCCGTCTCGTCCCCTGCTGACTCCGCTGGCGCATCTTGCCGTCTGCGACTTTGGTCTGGGGTGATGCCACTGAACTCGACCCTTCTTCACTCATCCCTCGTCCACTGCGAACTCGCTGGGATCGCAGTCTGCAGCTGGTTTGGGGTGAATGCCAATCGACCTTCCATTCATCTCATCCTTCGTTCCACCTGCGACTTCGCTGGGATCGCAGTCTGGCACTTCGGTCTGCGGGTGATCCCCAAACTCGCATTTTCCTTCACTCATCGCTCGTCCCCTGCGACTCGCTGGGATCGCAGTCTGGCACTGGTCTGGGGGTATGCAAAGTCTGACTTCCTTCACTCATCTTCGCTCGTCCACATGCCGACTCCGCGGGAGCGCGCAGCCTGGCACTGGTCTGGGGTGATGCCAAATCGACTTTCCTTCACGCATCGCTCCTCCCCTGCGACTCGCTGGGATCGCAGTCTGGCACTGGCACTGGTCTGGGGGTGATGCCAAATCCGACTTCCCTCAGTTCATCGCCTCAACAGCAGCATTCTGAACAAGCGTTCCCAGTAGAATGGGTTTCATATAGAGAAAGGTTCGCGCATTCGAATGGTTTTTTAATCAGCTCGAAAAGTTTACTTTATGCTCGAGATAACCATGCATTCTAAATAATCTGAAACGCCTATACTTAGCCGAATGCAATAAGATTGCCTTCTATCTAAGCTGAAAGCTTCTGCGACTCTCCAAAAAAGAGTTATCGTGGCGAATGACGGTTCGGGACACACAATTTTGGTCACAGGAATGGCTTGGATTAGTGGGGCAGAACTTCGTGCTCTCAGGTGAAACCACAGCATTTGATCGCCTTCCCGCGGTGTTATACCCTTCATCAAATCAACCCATAGCGTAAGCAACTTCATCATAGCATGAACAATATCCGAATTCTCCTTTATTAGACCAGATTAGTCCCCCGTCAACCGCCGGGACCTTCCTTTCCTGCGCAAGCTTTCTATCCTCCGCTATGGTCCCTTCCTCCTGTGACACCAACACCTCTGGAAGTGACGCGTATGCAACACAATGGTGTTTCAATACAGTAGAAGGGACACAATCATGATATGACGGTAGATTTTTCGCTTCCCTTCCTCATCCTCCCTTCCTCTCTCCACTGCCCTCCAGCTGCCACTGCAGCACCATGTGGAATGAACGGAAGTGTGCTAAGCAGGTGTTTATATAGCCCTAAGAGTGTTATCACAACTATCCTGCTACAAAACATTGATATCTCAAATCCTGTAAGCTACCCGATTTGTTAGCGGTTTGTTTATCCCATGAGCTTCCTTCTCACTCACTTCATTTTGCGGACGGACACACATACATACACACACACGCACACACACACACATACAGATACACAAACCGACACACAAAGTTAGCGCTTTATAAAATAGAAGGATATTTGTATTAATAAGCAAGTACGATGAGTCTTCACCGCTGAGATGATCCGAAGAAAACCGTTGACGACAATTGTTAGTTGATTTTATTTCCATGTATACTGAATAGAAAACTAGGTTTCTGATCACTGGTGGAATTGATAGGATGATCACTTCACTTTCAGGTGCACTGATGTATTAAATTGAAGGAACTCTTCTTAACAATTGTCGACAACGTTATGTGAAAAAGCAAATTTATGTGAGCACATACCAATAATCAATTCTGCTTGTTTTCATTGGATCCCGCCCAGAAATAGGGATTACGGTGTTCTGATGTGGTGTCCTTTTCAGACATATGTTGCCAATATACTCATCTCTATTAACCCATACGAAGAAATCGATGGTCTTTATTCAATTGATACAATAAAGAAGTATCGAGGAAAGTCACTAGGACAAATGCCACCACACGTCTACGCAGTTGGTAAGCCAACATGGCTCATTATTTCTTTTTTTTCTACATTTTTTTCACTACACTTTCGTACGTGTCGTATAAAGGTCGTTCTTAGGGTGCTGGCACAATGTCCCCATTTGAACCCAAATAAATGTAATAGTAATGTAATAGACTAGTAATTAAATGTAATAAGCAAAGTAGAATGAATGGACCGAATTAAATAAATACCATGTATAAATAAGAGTACTAATATTAACTGGTAATTCGAAGTGATATTGCAGAGAATGTCGAGAGCAGAGTCAACCGTGCGTTGCGCATCTCGAAAGGAATACTTGCGCAGTTTCCGGCGGGTGTCCCCCAACAGGCCCACCGCGCGGCGAAGCAAGAGACGCAGACGCGGCAAAGGGACGAGTCGCAGCGCATACTGTAGCGGTTAGGCGTCAGGTTAAAGAGAGTGTACCATACTACGTCTCATATCGCACAGCACGCGCTGCAACTCGTCTCTTTGCCGCATCTGCGTCTCTTGCTTCGCCGCGCGGTGGGCCTGTTGGGGGACACCGCAGTTTCGCACCAATTGAACACCATTCTCTCGCGCGAACATTCCACCACTGCGCATGGCTCGAGCCCGTCTGTGCTCTCCGCCAGTCACGGCGTGCGTTGACCCGAATCCTCTATAACGCCCTGCGCTGAGAACCTGCCAAACTGCGGCCGGTTGACTCTGGTCGACAGTCCACAAAAAAGCTTGCCGTTAAAAAAGGCTTACCAGCGGTTTTTTGCGTCTGCATGAAGTGCGAAAATGGTGTAGTGCTAAGTGGTGGGCTTACCACGCACACGGTCAGAGGATCAAATAATTGTACGCAGTCTAGGCCACCCAAACATTCCATCACAAAACTAACATAACAGAATTTGGCCATGTTCTCCCTATAAATAACGCGTATTATTGTAGCGATAAATAAAAAACTGGTCGCAACAAAAAAAGCGAAATTTCTGATCAGAAAATTGATGAAAGGAATGAAATTGCTGCATTTCAGCTGACAAAGCTTATCGTGAGATGAGACGCAATAAAGAATCTCAGTCAATCATTGTGTCTGGAGAATCTGGTGCTGGAAAAACGGAATCACAGAAGGCTATATTGAGGTATGGCTGCTGCATACACCCTATATCCTTAGCGTCATAATGTTTAATACCCACAAATTTTTCGTCTGTGTTTTGGCCACATATGTATGGACTCATTAAAAGTAACATGAATTGAGATTTTTCAGCTAACGATAAGTTGTTTGTTTTCAGGTACCTTTGTGAGAATTGGGGAGCTGCAGCCGGTCCCATTCAGAAGCGAATACTTGAGAGTTCGTTCCAATTTATTACTCATTTCCTTTTATTGTGGCAATGGTGCCCACGGTAATGAGACACCATGTTTGTTTTCTAAAGTCATGCGAACCTTACAGTGTGCTAAGGGCGCATATCTCGAAGAATATAGGGCATGTAGTACCTTTATGTAGCACTGCATAAAACAATGTAAATATCTCCCTTTTTTCAAAAGCAGGATTAGGCTTAGGCATGAGGAAAGAGACTCGAGAATGAGTAAGTTCTTTAACCCCCAAGATTCCTGTCCACCTCCCTCATAGGCTTTGCTAGGGGATGCCCCCGTATCTTGCGATAGCGCCTGCTCGATTACTAAACCTGAATTGAAAGGGTGCTCCCGATCTCAAGACCTTTATGAATCTTTTGCTGGTTTTCTTTACCCTTTTTTTTCTCAACTGGATCCCTTTGCACCCCCCCCCCCAACAGTCATATTTGAGTAGAAGTACCACGTCAATTTGATCGTGAGGTGTGCTTTAAAGGCACAGCCCGGGATAAAGTGTCTAAGAGCGTCCAGTGAGTAAGCTGGTTGTAGGGAGTGGTCTGGAAAGGACAACAAAGCAAAAGAAACCGCCGATTAGGCACTATCGTAGTACACGGAACATCCTCCAGGACTAAGCCCAGGAGGGGCAGGAACTTCAAAGAAACTGAAAATCGCTCACAAATACTGGAGTCTCTCCTCTTCTCAAAGATTATACCGCTTTCACAAAAAAGAATGTTTTGCGGTGATCCACATTCCGCCGTAACCTTAGCGATGCGCCGCCCGAATTACCCGCTCTTTTAGCTCCATTATAAAGCCTGGGGCTTGCCACTAAGGTGTGGACCACGGATCAAGCGGAATCATACTGCCTTCGTCAGGCACATTCTAGCCGCAGAATGGATGTACAACCACCATGCTTGTGCAAGCGCTGCCACCGTACATCGGGGAAGGTAATTGCATGCCAATCCTTCCGCGGACCGTGTCTTTGCAACAGGCTATCCACCGAATAACCCTCCCTTAGAGGGGTCTCCAATCTTCGACTGGGTGATTATGATCGTTCTAAAACGTGCGCATATGAGCGCGATGCGTTCCCCTGAGGAAAGATAGCACGCGGCCCAAGTTTGGTCTACGGACTGATTCAACTGACGTTCTTGTAAAAGCGTCAAGGCCTCTTCCGCTCTACAAACGAAAAATTTGTGGGAGGGTCAAAATGATCAGTCAATGCAAATGCTCCGTTCCTCTCTTGGGAATACATCGATGCTCGCAAAAACATATTACTTAATGATTTTTATGAATATATCGAGCTTTAACTGTTTTCTGAAGCTATAGGTTTTGAATTAGAGTTGTTTTCAGCAAATCCAATTCTTGGAAGCGTTTGGTAATGCGAAAACGCTCCGAAACAATAACTCGAGTCGATTCGGGAAATTCGTTGAAATCCACTTTGGCACGGATGTAGGTCTTTTAGGTGATCAAGGGCCTAAAAAGAATATAGAATAATCAAGGACTGTTAATTAAGGACAAAGTCGCTGGAGGTTTTGTGTCCCATTATCTCCTCGAAAAGTCGAGAGTGTGTCGGCAGGCTAACGGCGAGCGAAACTACCACATCTTCTATCAGTTGATTGCTGGAGCTCCAAGTGACCTGTACAAAAAGCTTCGGCTAGCGCCTCCGGATAAGTTCAAGGTTACTTACTCATCAATTCGGTCTTTTCTCTGAGGTCTTTCGCTGAAGTTCTCCAGCGGATAGCATTTTTTTTACAGTATCTGAAGTATGGCACGACTACCTTCTTTGTGCGGCCTGGCTCCAAGTCGAAGGTCAGCTCCGATCGGCTCAGCGAGCAGGTATGGGATATGCCGTTGTCTTTCAGTATTATACAGCCATCTTCACCCGCACCCGTGAGGTGCTTATTGATTAGGCGCGCGTAAAATCAATGTCTATTCAAATGCAGAGAATACTTGGTCTGACATTCCTGACGCAGCCTTATTTCGAAGTCCTTGCCGGACTGGACTATTCAGAATCTTGAGTCCTACGGCTTCAACAAGCCCCATTATTGTGACGCCGTGTTTAGCCATGTGTCGATTATTTAACCAAAAGGACCTCCCTCTCTCCCTCCAAGGCTCTGCTACCCCTCTTACCCGGTTAAGGATCCCAGATCTCTTTCCAGATAGTCATCCTTTCATACTCTTCCATTTGACGTAAAACTTAGCTTATCGAAAATTGTCCGTCGAGTTGGAAGGAGTTAGGGGTGAGTAGATGGGGAAAGAGCTGTAGTAAAAACAAACGAGGAACTTCCGTAAAGATTTCTCGTAAAAGGTCGAAAAACTTTTCCCAAAAGGTGCTGTACCCTAACTGAATACCACTGCACTCTTCCGAAAACACCACCAATCCCACCCTCCCCTCTCTAGGAAGTTAAGTGACCCCTTCCCCGACTCCCATCGAGAAATCCTTGCTGGTTGCTCGCTAGTTCCACTTAAAGGAAGCGATTACGATAAAGAAGGAGCGCATCGGGGAAGCATATGCACCACACGAATCAGTTACTTGGCTGCCAAGAAGCGAGATGTGGCGCTTCACGACGGTGCGCTGGTTGCTGAGCAGGACTTCGAAAGCGCTCCGCCCCAAAAGCGATCCGCCCACTAGTTTACTTGGTGATTTGGACGAGCTGTGTTGCCAGCAGCACAACTGAGAGCTATCCGCAACTGCATCGCATTGCATGGTTATTACCAGAAGCGCTTGCTGTAAACTCGTACCATACATCGCATCTTATTTCGCAGCTTCCGTAAGTTAACGTAACCGACGGCCAAGAAGCGTACCTTTTTCGCGCTGCTATCTTTCTTTCTTTTTCAGTATGGCGATAATATGAGCACGCGCGTTCCTCGTGAAAATCCCACTAAATCCATCGTACAGCCAGCTTTCAAGACTACTAAAACACCGCTGTTAATAGCTTACCTTTTAGTGTATATTCATAACATTTTGGGTGCTGCACCTTTCGTGAACTGTGTTCCCTTCGGAAGCAGTCACTTGTTTTCGACTATTCATCTCCTAATTGCTCTGAAGTTTTTTTACTAGTAATTAAACATCTTCAGATTTCTATCTTATTTATCATTGTACTTTGGAATCTGAACACACGCCTATTGATTTTCATCTGTAAAGGGCTACAGCAACGAAATGCGATCCCCAAAAATACAGAAAGGTAACAACAATTATGCCAAGGCGCGGAAGTCGGTCACTCGATGACGCGATCTGTTTGATATCAGCCGAGGAATAATCTCTCGCATCTGTGGATTCCGTCGGAAGGCTGACTACCAGTGATGAGGTAACACGTGATGCTACCGTGTAAGTTGATAAAATCCACTGTCAAGTGTTTTCAGATGGTGACATATTGGGTGTAACGGTTGCCAAGGCTACAACTTGGCAATAGTAGAATTCGATGAAAACCCACGACAATTCGAGGTAAAGCTAGAGCTCTCCCGCCCATTCCCAGAGTTTCTGGAAAGAAGTATCAGTTTTACTCCCACTTCCATTGATACGTGTCCCGGTAGTCCGCAACCCCTAGTCCATATAAAGAATTCAAGCTGACTATCGCAGGTGGCCGCAGAGACTGAGGAAGCGTTGGTGATTGCCTCTGAACTGCTCGGCTTAGAAGTGGCCGAAATGAAGATGGGCCTTGTGTCAAGGATTATGCAGGCGACAAAGGGCGGAGTTCAAGCACCCATCATCAGGTTGACATAGCTGCTATTGGTTTATGAGAACTTCGAATCAGCTGAAGAATTCCAGGGTCCCCTTGAAACCACATGAAGCTGCTGCTGGACGCGATGCACTCGCAAAGGCGTTTTATTCGAAGTTGTTCGATTGGCTGGTTGCGCGAATCAATAAATCAATACCATTCGAGAAAAGTGTCAGCTACATTGGCGTGCTTGACATAGCCGGATGGGTAAGGGAAGTTTCTTTCAGCTGGAATAAGAGGAAATTTGACGACTTTTTAAGACCAGTCATATTCCAGAATTCTTCGAAGTGAACTCATTCGAGCAGTTCTGCATCAATTACTGTAACGAGAAGCTGCAGGACTTTTTCAACGAGCGTATACTGAAACAGGAGCAGGAGCTCTACGCCAAGGAAGGACTGAATGTGCCAAAAATCGAATACTCGGACAATCACGATTGTATTGGTAAGTAGTAGGGAGTAACCGGTTATACATTTGTTCTGGATAACGCGTTCAGCACTATGCAACATAAAGATTTGCGCGAGTCGCGCGACGGATTGGACTCTGACACTAGCCTTACTACCAGTAAAGGATGACAGGTTATACCTGATGTTTGCAGTATGGTAGACACCGTTGCATATATACCCTCCAAATCTGTTTAACTGTTTTCTGAACGCCAGGCTGGTGTGAGAGTCTACGACCCGTCGCGCATTCGCGCGAATCGCGCGACGGGCCGCGGGCTCTGACACCAGCCTAAGGGAAGAATTAGTCAAAGCCCAAGAGTTGGCTTCGCATCTTCCAAGAAGCCCATGATGCCACCAAACCATATCCGGGGGCTATTCTTTTTTCCAGCTCCACGATTTCCACCCCCTCGCAACTAAAGTTGGATTTTTGTAATTCCAATATTTTACCATTGTCCATCGGGGCGCAGGTGGCACAGCGGCAAATGGCGCCATCTACCCTACCACCCTCTTTGTTCTGGGGTTGAATTCCGCCTCGGCACTCCCCCAAATCAACCAAGCATCTAATCCATCCAGAGTGATTGCCACCACAACTCTCCCAGAGGGTAAAAGTAATGAGTTGTAAGTAGCCGGCTGACCCCGTAAGCCAATGTATTGGTCACATCATACTCAACTGACCATCCGACATTGAAAGGGATTCGAAAGCGTGACGTATTCTGGAATGTGATTGATCGTCGCCGAATGTGTTGTCCTTTATCATTTACTCCTCACAAGAGTTCTACTATTCCAGAGCTTTTCGAGAAGAAGCCATCCGGTCTGCTCGATCTACTCGACGAGGAGTCTCGCCTACCTCGACCCACCCCTCAGCACTATACGATGGCGGCTTATGAGTCTAACAAAGGGCATTTCCGCTTGGAGGTGAGCACAGTTTGTTATGGTGGAACAGATGCAAGCTGAAGTCGAGCTGTAAAATTAGGAAAAATGCTAGATGTAAAAAATTATATGGTTGACCATTCGTCTGTGAACAAAATAACGTTGGAATACTTGACATTCAGAGAGCCGTCTACTCAAAAACAACTGAGTTACTGATACTGACGTTAAAAGTGGCGGTGCTAATGTAGTGGGAGGGGGACGGTGGCGCGGCATTCTGTTCATCTGCGCCTCTAAGGCTGAGTCCGGTGGCCGTTACTATTTCGTTGCCATGTGGCAGTTTCGGAAAACAGTGGCGTCGCAACTTAAGCCTTGGAGGTGCTGATGAACAGGGCGCAGCGCAGCCACGGGGCTCCCTCCGACTACTTTAGCGCCAGGGAGAGCTTGGCGATCGTTTCAAATCTCTTAATTCTGATATGCCGCTAGATTTCGTCCCACATCACGAAGTTTATCGCCTGCCACCCTGCTCGCCTGTGACCAAATTCCGCGACTGTTGGTCAAATCTGCTATCAATTCATCTGTTATAATTTTGAGAAGAACTGCTAAACCTAATCCATTGCATACAGTGCCCATGAAGAATTTATATCTAGAGATTACTTGCTTTCAGAGTCCGCGTCGTTCACGTTTGCGACAGCATCGCGATCTCCGTGAGGATGAGGCGTTCCTTGTTCGCCATTATGCTGGTACTGTCTGTTATCAGACGGCGCAGTTCCTAGAGAAGAACAACGACACGCTGCACAATTCTCTCGAATTTCCTCGTAGAACAGAGCAGGTTTGCGCATTTTTTGCACATTTTTTTTGTCAAAAACTACTACGTAGTCATAGCGCTGAAAATCAAACCTTGAAGCAGTTGTTGACACTTGTTGTACTAACTTTCATTTCACGTGGATACCTCCCGATTACGATATCCTATT